AGAGGAGAGAGTGTATGCACACAAGCACACAAGAGAGTAAAATGAAAACCTCAATGTGCCATTCTTCTACTTAAAACTTTACAGGTAGGAACCATTTCTCACTAAGCAAATCAAGACAGGACAAACTTGGACAAGAGGATCTATGAATTATAATATTTATTCTTTGCATGTTGTCCTTTAGCACTTCTAAATAGAGATTTTCTCTCTATAGAAGCAAACATGGCCACCAGCATCTTGAACGTATATCCCAACAGCTCTCCCACAGAATAAAAGTTACCATTATCTCTAGTCAGTATTAACTCCCGAAGGTGGACTTATAGCACTGAGTCATGTGCTCATGACTGTGGCCAGGAGGAAAGAAATTATGATGACTCTACCTGGCTTATGTGAGTACCTATGAGGTTGGATAAGTGTACTCATGCTACTAGAAGGATAGAATAGCAATAATCTAGAAAGTTACAGTAGTCACATTAAACCCTTTTAGGCCTCTTATCTCTCAGGATCAAATATATTCTACTAAAACAGTTTTAAAAGTATTCCATGATCTGGTTCTGGTTTCTAGCTTCTTGTCTTCATATATTTCCATTACTTCACAATGTTAAGTGTCCTCCAGTTCACAGAACACAGATGTTTTCTGCTACTGGTCCTCCCACATGCTATTTCCTTTGTCTAAAATATTCTTCACTTTTTTCCTTTTTTAAATATCACTATCTCAATGGGGCTTCCTTTATACCTAGAATTCCCATAATTATATTCAATATATCCAATATGATATTCTCTATTACTATATTCATTATTTATTCATTTTCTCAATCATCTAACCTTCCTACTAAATAGCAAATTCTATAATAAAATACTGGGGTTCAACACCCAGTTTAGCATGTTAAATGTCTTAAAGAAATATCTTAAAGAAATAAGTAAATGTGCTTAAAGAATCATAGACAAAATTGAACTGAAGGAAAAAGAGAAAAACCAAAAGAACAGTAAATAATGATGTCTTCAATTTATTAAGTACTTTCTGTGAACTAGGCACTATGCAAGATGCTTAACATGTATTACCCCAACTCTCACATCAACCCTAGGAAACAGGCATTATTCTGATGTCTATTTCCTACTAAAGACATTGAACCTCAGAGAAATTAATTGCCTTAAGCAACACACATCTATTTCCATATTCATGATAATGACTGCCGCAGTCTGTGAGGAACAACTTGTGTACGTGATACAGCAGGAGTGGAAGCCGTTTATTGCAGGACAGGAGCAGTATTTATACATTCCACAGAGCTTATCTAATTAGCATAAACTAGATACATCAGTCAACCAATCAGGAATCTCCACACTTAATGGCTTGTTTTTGTTACTTCTCAAACCACTCCCTCTGGCATTTTGCCAGGCACCATCCAGACTTGCTTATGAACTCTAACATTCCCCTGGCAAAATGCCAGGTGTTATTTTGACTTGTTTACAGACTCTAACAAATGACAGCTTATTGATATACAAATATTTACTGAACAGAGTGACTTTGAAACTAGAAAAATATAAGTATGAATATGGACTCCTTCACCTTCTGACTGGTACTTTCAGCAAACTATGAGAGCTTCCAAATCATGTTTCTCACAAATGTAAAAAGGTGGTTAAATGCTGTCCTTAATACCAGATGTGGTACATAAAATGCCTGTTACAAAATACTGCTTAAATGTTAGTTCCTTCCTAGTACTTATACTGTGCAGCAGAATATAAAACAGAAATTACACCATTTAGAACCTCAAAGATCTTACTATCCGGTTGATGAGATTATTTTATTAAATATTCTTGAAATTAAATAGAATCCGATGTGAAACAGTAAACATGTACAACACCCAGCAGTACAGATTATAAAGTCAGAAAAAGAAAATGATCCACAATGAGTGTGTGAATTAGAAAAAGCTTTCATGAAGGAAGAGAAATGTGTGGAGACTCTTAAAGTATAAGTAAGGGCTGAGAAGGTAGCTCAGCAAGAGGATGTGTGCTTAGTATGTGCAAGGCCCCTGGGTTCAATGCCCAACACTGCAAACAACCACCATCACAAAGTTAAAGGGATATGTAAGATGTACAACAGTAGACAGAAAGGTGTTTTCCCCTCTTCCTCCTCACAGGGGAAGAAGCCTATATTAATGAAATCAAGGAACTGCTCTTCAATTAATGAAGGCAGATTTAAAACAAACAAACAACAACAACAAAAAAACCCTAGGCATGGTGGCACAAGTTTTAATCCCAGCTGCTCAGGAGGGTGAGGTAGGAGGATGACAAATTTAGGGTCAGCCTAGACATCTTAGTAAGATCCTGCTTCAAAAATAAAAAATAAGATGTATCTCAGTGGTAGAGCACTCCTGGGTTCAATTCTCAACACTAGGGGGGAAGAAAAGAAGAGAGAGAGAGAAGGTGGATAAGGATTATGGAAAACTTTGATGGCAGAATTGTGGAGCTGAGATTCATAAAAGAAAGAAATATGAAGCCAATTAAGAATTTGGGGTCAGGGAAAGGACAGACTGAGGATTGATAATAAATCTTGTATTTTTTTCCACAGAAATATCGTGGTTCACTTTTTTCCCTAAGAAGGAAGGTAGTACTTCTCCAAAATAATATTCAACATATTTTGCATTTAAAGAAAAGGAAACTAAAACCAAAAAAAAAAAAATCCAACAGCTTTCTCACCCCACTTCATGCTGTCAGGTAACCATCTAGAGAGGAGAACCCAAGCCCTCTAAGTATGGCCCATATAAGTTTTGTATTACTAAACAATATCACATGTACATACTGGCCAAAATTGGCCAATCCTGGTTTATTTGCAATTCTTCACATTAACTGTTGTTTATAGACATACTAATTTACAACCTCTTTTAATAAACAAGTGCCAGTATAAACTTTACCCTATGCAAAAGGTCACAGCACCCTCAAGGAAACACAATGAATAACTTCATACAAAGATGCAAATTATAATTTCAGAATCCTGAGACAAAATTCTCATCCTTCCAATGTATCTTTAAAAATGCCCACTATAGGTATTTTTATATCCTTACCCTTTTACAGCTCATTACAAAGGAACTATCAATCAGTTCTATAGCATTCTTAAAACATTTTAAATGAGCCAATGTGGTTTCTTATTACACCCCAGTCTTCTCCCATTATACCCTTTATTTTAGGCTCTAAAACTTGGGCATTATTTTCTAACCATATGCTACATGTCATGCTGGGGATTATATAACTTTTGTTTTTATCAAAATGGTACCCTTTTGGTTTAAGCTACATCAGGCTTTTCTTAAATTTACAATTCTAAAAAAATTACTTATAAAACAGAAGCTAAACTAGTGGGCCTAATTAAATAGAAAAATACTTTAAAATGATTCTGCTTTCTAATGTTATTTTTGCCCCATCATATTTGATAGATTTATAATGAAAGTGAATTATTTCCTTCCATTATCAAGTGGGTAAGAAAAGTGAGAGTAAAGACACTTGTAGACTCAGAAATGCTGTGTATTCTCATAGCTACTGTCTAATTTCCAAAACATACAACAAACATGCTCATGAAATTTTAGATATTTTTTAAAAATCAGATCCTTTTAAATTCATAGGCTAGATCTTGAAAGTTTGGGGATAATAGATCTTTGGTCACCAGGGCACTTTTGTCCTTTTTAATTTTTATAAATCACTAAGCTTACTGAATGTAGTTAAAATTTGGCAGCAATATTACTGCTACCTTGAGTATTTGAAAGTTTTTCAGTAATGTGGTACCTAAGTCTAACAAAGTATAATCTCTCATGAAACTTCCATTATCACTTAAAAATAACAACAAAGGTGACAAAAAGTGGAGATTCTTGGGATTTTGAGCCTCTAAAAGGCCACCAAATATTGGGGTGGAAATTTTGGTACAATTATTTTTCATGGATGTATCTGGACTACCATTTTTAGCTGTTTCCTCACGAATAAGAGTTTAATATTATGTAGGTTTAAACCATACAAAAGGAAAATTTTAATATGGGTGAGGGAAGGTACTGTGGATTAAACCCAGAGGTGCTTTATTACTTAGCTACATTCCTGGTCTAAGTGCCTTGCCTAGCATCTGGGTGGCCATTTTAAGGTTTTCCCGTCCTAGGGTTTTTCAGAGAAAGGCTCACCACTCCCTCAAACCAATCCAACCCTGCAGCGCCTGCATTCTTTCCCCAGCCAAGGGCATATCACCACTCCCTCCTACCAATCCCACCCTTAATCGTCCACATCAGGACCCGCCCTATCCGGCTCTGCATTCCTGAGCCACCCCCATAAATCTCCAACCCCAAGCCCGCCTGGCCTCCCGCGGGCTATGGACTGATGCCCTTTGTCACCTCTGACAAACTCTCCTGTGTATCTCCACCTGGTCTCCGTCTTTCATTTCTCGCTGGCCCATCCGGGTTCCTCGCTTTCCTGTCTCCTAGCTCTTTTTAATTTTCAGACATGGTCCCTGCCTAGGACTTCTCTGAATTACTGAAGCTCGCCTTGAACTTGGGATCCTCCTGCCTCAGCCTCCTTAGTGGCTGGGATTGCAAGCGCGCACCACAGGGTCTGGACCCCTTTTTAATTTTTATGATGATTTAAACAACGGCTTCCCCCATAAAGGTACCGTTAGGTTTCCCATGATTCTGTGAATTCCTGAGGCAGTGGGCTATGCGCATTCAGGTTAGCTGTGCTAGCCTTATTTACGGTCAGACACAGAATTAATACACGTTGGGGTCCAGGTTATCAAACACAACTAGTCTTTGGTCTATAACTATCTTTAAGCAAAAATCAATGAAATCTACCAGATTTTACTCCGCCCAAATCTCAGAAGTAGCATCTCCTTAAATAAAAAAAAAAATTACAAAAAAAAAAAAAAAAACACTTTCCACAAGTGCCGGACTCTTCCCAACACTCAAGCACTAAACTGGGGCAGTGCCAGGCGGCCTGCCAAGACCCAGGGGAATGAAGGTCGGGAAGTCGCTGCTCACCGCAGTGGATCCCTTCTTCACTGCTTCCTGGGCATACTCCACTTGGAAAAGGTGTCCGTCTGGGGAGAAGACGGTGATCGCCCGGTCATACCGAGACGCCATCACATTAAAAGTAAGATTCCCGCGGAGCCTAAGACGCTACCAGAGGTACACGAGGCTGGGAACCGCTTGCACCACCACGTGCCGGCTCCCGGAAGTGCTCACGCACGCCCCGGGCCTCGAGCGGCCTCCCAGAAGTCTTTGTGCCCACGCCATTGGCTCCCTCCCAGAAGTCCTCGCGCCCGACGGTCTAGGTGACCCCAGCCTCTTCCTTTCCCTTCTTGTCTCATAAATCTCCCAGATTGCCACCAGTGTAAACCTGGGCGTGGTGACTGCTCACTGATTTATAAAAATGATATGCAAGATTAAGGGCTTAAAGATAAGATCTTCAAAGGTCAGATATTTTTGTATGCACTTATTTACAGAAAGAATGAGAGGTACAATTTCAGCCGCTTGCCTTTGGTTTTAAATTCTAAAGTCCCCTACCACCACCCCCTTTTTCTTTCTCTGGTTATCTTTGGTCACTTGAACCCAAGAAATGATAATTTTCAAAATAGTGTTTATTCTTTTGTTTTGTTTTGCCCTGTGAGCAAATGGTCCATTAACTAGAAGAAATTGTCCATCAAACTAATACTAAAGACAGTAATTAAGAAAATACTCTTTTCATTGAAGAAAAATTTAAAAATCCAAAGATGTGACTTGAATGATTTATGGAAGTTTAGCTATATCTGTATTATGTTGTAAAACATTACTACCTGTGAAACAACTCTGTCTTTATCAATAATATGAGAGTATTAAAAAATTCTTCAGCAATGTGGTCCAAAGGTCGAACATTAAATGTGCATTATAAAAATGACTCCAGGAGGTGCTAATGACTAAGTAAATTTGGCTATTATTACTTACCCTGTATTGTTTATTAGATGCTGTTTTACAATGCACAGGATCTTAAAGTTGGTGAAATCAACTTGGACTTAAGAAAAAGAGCTAGGCATGGTGGTGCATGTCTGTAATGCCAGCAACTTGGGAGGCTGAAGCAGGAGTATCTTAAGTTCAAGCCAGCCTCAGCAACTTAGCAAGATCCTGTCTCAAAAAGGGCTGGGGATGTGGCTGAGTGGTTAAGTACCCCTAGTTTCAATCCTGGTACTGAAAAGAAAAAAGAAAGAAAGAAAAATTATCCACAAAAGAGAAAACTCATTTTTCTTAATTCCAAAAAGCTAGAATTGAGTTGACTCTTGAGAGCAATTTGTATTCATTCCCCTTCTGGTCCCTTTTTTTCCATTGGAAAATAAGTTAATTCATTTTGGGGAATGGGAAGACATCCAATCTCAGAACTTCTGGAATTGCTTCTTGGTGCCAGCAGCCTTGATGACCTTGAGCACATTGCAGTGCACTATCTTGTTCAGGGGCCCGCACTTGACCAATGTGATAATATCACCAATCTGGACATACCTGAAGCAGGGGGATAGGTGCACAGACATGTTCTTGTGGTGCTTCTCCCAGTAATTGAACTTGCACATGTAATGGAAATAGTCCCAGAGGATAACAGTGGTGCCTGCATCTTCATCTTGGTGACCACACCCAGACAGAATCTGCCCTTGGATGAAAATGTTACCAGTAAAGGGACATTCTTATTAATGTAGGTGTCCTCAATGGCCTCCTTGGGTGTCCTGAACTGCAGGCTAATATTATTGTGGTATTTAGTGGCGTCTCCTTGCCAGTTTTTCCCAGCAAGACCCTCTTCTTGTTTTGAAAGATGGTTAGCTGCTTTTTTTTTTTTTTAAGAGAGAGAGAGAGAGAATTTTTAATATTTATTTTTTAGTTTTCGGCAGACACAACATCTTTGTTTGTATGTGGTGCTGAGGATCGAACCCAGGCCGCACGCATGCCAGGCGAGTGCGCTACCGCTTGAGCCACATCCCCAGCCCCGGTTAGCTGCTTTTGACAGGCACACTGAGTCTAAATGTCTGCCACCTTCTGGGCTACCTGAAAAAAGAACCCCTTTTCTTTAATGTGGGAAACTCTAGAAAAGTTTGGTTCTACTGAGAAAAACAAAAATTTCCAACAGAACAATTTATTTTGTGGTTACAAAACTGTTGTTTGCCAGAAGATGTTTTTTTGAGAAGTATTTCATTATTCTTGTTAAGTAACCCCCTTTTATGTTCTATATTGAAATAATAGAAAAAGAGTGGAGAGAAGTCTCCTCTACTCTTCACCTAGTTTGGTCCAATGGTAATACCTTACATACCTATAATACAATAAAATAACAAAGCTATGAAACTGACATTGATAGAACCCATAGAGGCTTTTCAGATTTCAGCAATTTTACATGTACTCCTATGTGTGTTTCCGTGTAACTTATCGTGTGCTAAAACCACTACCACCATTAAGATATAGAACTATTTCAAATCACAAAGATCCCTATGCTGTCCACTTAGAAAACATATCTCTCTACCTCCACCATCCCTGACAACCACTAATCTGTTCTCCTTCTCTATAATTCTGTCATTTCAAAAAATGTATATAAATGGAATTCTACATTATGTAAAGGTTTGTGACTTTTTTTTTAATTGTGGACTCAGCCAGGTGCAATACCAAAAAAACAAAAACAACAAAAAAACTTATAGACTCACAGAAAGTTAAGGACATGTTACAGAGGGTCTTTGTACCATTCATTTAGTTCTCCCAGTTGGTGACATCTTATATGCTTATGGTATAATATGAAAATGAGAAAACTGACATTTGAATAGAGGATTTTTATAACTTTGATTGAAAGGAATTTTATGAATGTTATAATGTATTATAGTGTACATTTTAGAAATATTGACAAAGATTAATTCACACATTCAGGCTTCATATTGAGACTACAATTTAACAGTTTTGTGGTTTGGGGTAGTGTTTAAGTCAACTTGTTTATTACTGTGACCAAAAGACCTGACAAGAACAATTAGAGGAGGAAAAGTTTATTTGGGGGCTCAAAATTAATTTTATAGAAGTATAGTTCTATTCCTTAGGGCTTGAGGCAAGGCAAAACATCATGGTGGAGGAGTGTGGTGGAGGGAAACAGCTCAGGACATTGCACCATGAAGCAGAAAGAGAGAGAGACAGAGAGCTCCATTCTTTAGGGATAAAATATATCCCCCAGGGCTGGGGATGTGGCTCAAGCGGTAGCACGCTCGCCTGGCATGTGTGCGGCCTGGGTTCGATCCTCAGCACCACATACAAAGATGTTGTGTCCGCTGAAAACTAAAAAAAAATAAATAAATATTTAAAAAAAAAAAAAAAATATACCCCAAAGACATGTTCCCAATGACCCACTTCTTCCAGCCACACCCTACTTGCCTACAGGTACATTCTGGTTGATCCCTATCAGGTGATTAATTTACTGGTTGGATTAAGGCTCTCATAACCTGGGCATTCCACCTTTAAATCTTCTTGCATTGTCTCACACATGAGCTTTTGGGGGACACCTGATATCTAACCATAACAGGTAGATAAAATTTATTTTACTTAAACTCAGTTTCCTTACCTGTAAAATGGGGATAGTATCTAGTTCACAAAGTTGTTGTGAAGAATAAATGAAATAATACATTAGTCCCCAGGTCTATTTGATACAGAGTAAATGCTTACAAAATGGTAGCTATTGTTGTTTATCATTGAGTTAACCAAGAAGTTGATTACTCTATAAAAGAGAAATTTGGAAGTGTAAAGCTATAGCATGAACCCATTTATACTTTTAAAGAATATATGTATACAAATATATGATCGTAAATATATGGGGAAAAGTGAAAGGACATACACCAAGCTGACAAAAGTGGTTTTCTTTGCAGGAGGACAGAGATTGGAAAGAGAATAGAAAGACATGGTAAACAAAGAGAAGTCACCATTTTAAACTATTTACGTGTAACTATATTATGTTATTGTTTTTATAGATTTTTTTTAGAGAGAAGAGATAGATAGAGAATTTTACTATTTTATTTTTTAGTTATTGGCGGACACAACATCTTTGTTTGTATGTGGTGCTGAGGATCGAACCCGGGCCACACGCATGCCAGGCGAGCGCGCTACCGCTTAAGCCACATCCCCAGCCCTTATGTTATTTTTTACAACAAGCATAGTTTAGACTAACAAAAACAATGGTCAGAAACAATTTAATGCCTAGAGATTTTTAACGATGGTAATCTTAATGATTTGAGCCAAATCTTCTATTGAGAACAACTAGAAATATGGGACAAAATATGTTTTAAAATCCATGTTGCAGGGTGCAGTGATACATGCCTGTAATCCCAGTGACTGGAGAGGCTGAGGCAGGAGGATCCCAAGTTCAAAGCCAGCCTTAGCAATTTAGTGAGCCCATGAGTAATTTAGCTAGACCCCATCTCAAAGCAAAAAGTAAAATTCGCTGGGGATGTGGCTCAGTGGTTAAGCACCTCTGAGTTCAATTCCTGGCACACACAAAAAACAAAATCTACATGCTATTCCTAAAGAGCTAACAAGGAATGAACATTTGTGGTGCTTATATTTAAAGGAGAAGGAAAACCCAGAGATATTTGCCTGTTCCTGATGCCTAGTTTAGAAGTTAAAGCAGATCTTTTTAAAAAAGTGTCCCTGGATTGAACCCAGGGGTGCTTAACCACATCCCCAGTGCTTTTTATTTTTTATTTTGAGACAGGATCTTGCTCAATTGCTGAGACTGACTTTGAACTCTTGCCTCAGCTTTCCAAGCTGTTGGGATTATAGGCTTGTTCCACTGCGCCAAGCTAAAGCAGATCTTTGATTAGACAAAAATTGGAGCTCAAAGCATGATGAGATGTTATGGAAAATATTTAAGCTTTTTTGTTGGAACCCATTATCCCACAAGAGTGAAGTCAAAATAGACCTATTCTACATTCTGACATGGCTACCACATATACCTTGCTTGCTCATATACCTTGTTCTGCTTTTTCTGCAACCACGTTTGACAAACTTTGTATGATTTAGATTGAGAAATTGAGAAGTCAAAATTGAAGAACACAGAAACACAAAGTAATATCCTTCAAAATGCCGGGTTTCTGTTCTCGCGACTA